TCGATTTGAAGGTAAGCTACGGTTCTATCATTCTTTTGGAACCTTTCCATGTATCTTTCTATCTTTCATAATATAGGGTTTTTATTTGTTTTTATTTTTTGCTACTTCGTTTCTAATTGTTTTGATTCCATCAGTGATCATTACACGTTGATTTTGTACTTCTTATCCAACAGTTTGCAGATCAATAATCTGTTAAGTGTTGTAGATATAGCCAATTTATCTGGTCTAATGATCCTTCCATTTATAAAGAATTTCATGTACGAGATTCTATTTTAGCCACCAAGACCTTCAAAACCACTCACAACGGTCATCAAACATACTTCACCACCATAAATAATCTTATGGCAAGAAACCATATCAATGTGATTTCAAATTTTTTGTCGACTGTTGTAAGTGTTCTATTCTCAGTAAGAATCTATATCCCCAATTTTATATTGGTGGCACAAGTAAAGTCGGTAAGAAATCCAAGAATCGATTTTTAAAATAATTTGAAATAATTTAAAGTAAATTATTGTTCAATGATAACAAAGATTTTGGTTGTAGATATGGTCGTACTAGCAGGAGATGCCATTGGTGAAATGAATGGAACCCGCATGAGCAGTTAAGGTGTTTGGCCTCAAACAAACAAGTAAGGGACATTTATTCAGTTGTGCATATCAATATATGTAATTTAAAGTATGCCCCTCAAATGTTCATTAATGATACAAACATCCATTCAGAAATTTACAGATAAGTGAAGCAATATAAATGCAAATTAAAGTTCAAAGAAGGCTACATGAACAACTTGAGGTACAAAAGATAATTAAAAAAAATATAGAAATGTTTATGGTTCCATTATTTATATTCTCTTAAACTGAAATAGGTACAGAGACACTTACAGCTTCAAATATAAGCACAAGGGAAATACTTAAAATTAGTTGTTGAAAAAGCACAAGAGACCATTGGAAGCCAAAACTTAGGCACAGTTGGACTAGAGTTTACAAAAGTTCAACAATCAGAATTGGTCTTCATTTATACACCAGATCTTATAACTCTTGTATTTTTCTTATTCTTTACATTAAAACAAGTACTATATATAGAAAAATCCCCAAAAGTTGCCAAGATTGATCCATATTGGTTGTGATACCTGTTCCGTTGGTAGGGATGCAAAGTGTGGCCTTTACCCTAAAAAACTTGGAAGACATGATCTATTGATCTTTGTATGCCAACGTTTTTCAAAATCTCAAGAACAATGGTTATAAAAGTGTGTTCAGAAGCAAAGAATGAAACAAATCAAGTTTGTCCTCCTTCTTTGCATAGTTTTTAGTATTTGTATTTTTTTAGAGTTTAATCAATGTTTCATATTTAATTTGGGATTGTTTTTAGCTGAGTCAAAACACAAACACACTTTCTAAAAAGAGAAAGGCGTTCCCCATGCCACTTTTTGTTCTATTTTTGTTAATTTCCTATTATAGGGACATTATTTGGTCTCAAGAAGCAGCAACAGAGTGCAAAAGAGGGATGAGGCAGTGACATCAATTGAAATTGAAGCAGTGGGTTAGCTAATATAGGTTTTTCATGGTATTTGGTATTTGATTTTAATTTATAATTGATAGTAGAGGGGAATTTCAAATCTAAGTTTTTTTTTTACCATTTTGCCCCTGATAGAAAATTAATAATTAGAAAAGATGAAGATGATTACAACAGAGCAACAATTTGGGCAATTTGTTGATATTATAGCTAAGATTGCAAGACAAATGCTAATTTTGGGTGACATACAAGAGCAAATTATGATGTAGGGTTTTGTTCAGAGATTTGCATGAGAATGGAGGAATGTTGTTAGACATGATCTCCAATAATTTGATTCACTTTATCCAAATCTTCTAAAATCATATAATTCTTTTTTATGTCAAAATGTATTATTCTTTATTTGTTTCTAATATAGGCGATATTGGAGTGAAGAAAATAAATAAATATTGTGTGTGTTTGTATTTTATTGATTGTCGTCTTTCTATACCATTAGATTATAACCATTCAGTCATATTACTAATAATGTGTTTAAGAAATATAATATTTGTCATGGACCATTCAAAATGGGAATTCGATATAAGATTGATTAAATGGGTAAATGACGATATAAGATTGCATTCATTCTTAAACTAAATAAAACTTCAACAAATAATAAGCAATGTTGAATTAAATGTGTTAAGTTAGTTATATTAAGTTTTAAAATTGAAATTATAATAATAGATAGTTAAATCTTACTATCAATTTTTTCTTAGAATGATTATACATGATATATGGTTGGTGTTATTTGACATGATATATTAATTTAAGTTACTATTAGTAGATTATAAATGTATATCATTCATCTCGGTAGGTGGTATATACGAGATGATAAATAGCTAACATAACGATTCTTAAAGACTCAAATCAAAAGCCTTACAACATGGGTTCGAGAAAAATAAATTACAAGTTCAATTCCAATTAACTAATCTCACTCAAAATCTTTTACAACAAGGTTCATATTCCGCTGCATTGCACAGTCTCGAGCAAAAGAATGAAACTTGCAAACCTAAGCGACAACAGACTTGCAAGTCGATGCATTAGTTATACGTCTAAATATGACATGTTTCGATAGCAACTTCGTCGAAAGAAAGTTATGAGTCGAAAATAACCTTTTCACTGTCGATTCTTTGTGCATGTACGCATCTACTAGAAACTTACTTTCAAACACGACATGGGTTAATTGGTTACGATGTTCAATTTGAACAAACAACTAAAATCCAAAATACCATACAATTATTTACATACATTAACGATATATTTAAATGGTGAATGATATTTATAATGCACTTTGTGTTCTTTGGAATCAAATATGTTATCATGAAATATAAATGATCCATTTTCGACACAATGGAGCCAATATATGAAAATATTTTTCCAAGATGCAAAAAAATGACGAAATTATTAGTGAAGTCCGACGAACAATTTATTGACAGTGAAATATACATAAATTTTGTTTTATAAAGAAATGTTGCGCGATTAATATTGTACAATCAATCATGTGTTCATGTACATTTGTAAACAATCGCCTCTAGAAACTAATTTTTGAAAATAATTATCCGCACCCGTTTCTTGGCGCGGGTAAAC